TTTCACACACATTTATAAAAGAAAAGTCTCAGATCGTTAATTAGTCGTCAAAACTAAATTATCGGTTCAGAAATATTTAATTTCCTGATATACTTAGTTTACGAGAGTAAAAGTATAAACGAGAAGAATCGATTCAGAAATGTTGCATTTCCATATCGAATATTTTCGCAACGTCACTATTTAGTACTTGTTATAACGCTGCAACACTGAAATTGTCAAATCTGGAATCGAATTAAAATTCCGAGTATAATACAAAATCGTGCGTCATTATTATGTATGTATGTATGCATGTATGTATATTGTATTGTACTCGTGTGTAGGTTTCTGAAATATGTTAGTATAATCTTCTATTTTCTCAATTAAATCGTTGCTTGCTTCTTGAACCTTTGAACTCTTCTCTGCATCACCCAAAGTTCAGACTGTCCTGACTGTCATTAAGTCCACCCTGTGTAGACTTTGTGCATGAAACGTCAATAAATAAATAAAAAAAATATTTTTGTTAAATCTGCCCTCAACCCCATAAAAGAGCATGAGCGAAACCACGGGCAAAGCTAGCAGTTTATATATGTGTAGTCTATACATTAAAGAAGTTGTATAGTCTACAACCTCTTTATTATTTTATACGCGGCGACAGGTCAGACGATGTTATAAATAAAAACTCAATAACTGAGTGCTGTCTGGAACCTTAATAGAAAATTCATAGGCAAACATATTTATGGCATAATGTTACCTAGAAATATACCTATGATTACTGAAATTATAATTAAGATAAGGTACATTATTATGTTTTTGACGAATGAGCAAATAGTTTCACGGAATTAAGGCTAGCCTGTCACAATCTGTTGTTAATATATTAAACACAGAATTCTGAGATAAACATATTTATTGCTTTCCTGTGAAAAGTAGAAAACTGCAAACAAATCATAGCAATATAGCATACCATTTTTAACGTTCCGCGTTTTTGTTTAAGAGGGGAAAATCATCGAATGACTGCGTCCGCCTGGGTGAGGCGGGAGGGACTGTCAAACTCTTACTGTTCCAAAAACCACCCTGTTCCTTCTCCTGCACGTCGAGCCGGAGCCCCGGTAACCCGTTAGGTTCTCCTTGACGATGTCCCTCGTTAGGATTTTCTCTTGTGTCGTGGGTGCATTTACAAACATACAAGTTCACATACACATGACACCCAGAACCGGAACAACAATCTGTGGATCACACAGAGTTTTTGCACCGTGCAGTCTAATTTGCACTGTGCATTCTAAGTCAAATTATGTAAGTTATATAATTATATATCATGTAATACATAAACTCCTAAAATCCTATACAAAGCACATGGTCCATTAACTCTTATACCGTTTAATCTAACTAAGCCTAACCGCTCGAATTCCGTGGTCAGTTAATCGGTGAATATGATCGAACTGGAATAATTTTAGTAGAGTCTTAATTTGTGTTATTTATTACTTTGTTTATGTAAGCTTGTTTGAACTTAATTTGTCCCTATTTATTGGCATAGTTTTGATTGTATTGATTGATTGATTTGAGTGCGATTTGATGAGGACTTCATATTCAATTGTTTAATTTGGATAGAAAATAGTTTTTGCTGTCATGAAAAAATGGGTTTCATTACTAATTTCTGGTAAAAAACGTTATGTAGATATCAGTTGTCAGATATCATTGTCAGGTATGTATGTAGTAAAAAAAATGAACAGAAATTCTAAATTTAAATTCGAAATGTAGACATTTTACTTAGAAAGACTGTCTGTCTTCTCTTGTCTCCCTTAACTAAGATCAAAAATATTTGGTTATACTTGGCCACAGATTATCTTACCTTTATAGTTCAACTCACCTTGCCAGCAACAAAAAAAGAGCCACAACATTACGAAAATCCCATTAACTGGCAACATTAATGGCATTGTTCAGCAGATTGCCATTTAAATTGGCATCTCAATTTGTGCTGTCACGTTATCATTGCAGTCAAGAGTCGTGTTCATGAGCGACATAATTATCAGGAACAAGTGTACATGACTTTGCAAAAAGAATTAATTTGGCATAAATTTGTAAGTGTGATAAGTAGGCGTGTAATGTGTGTTTACAGCTTTATATTGGTGTTCTTTTTTTGATTTATGTTCTTTTTTTATTTTGATGATATTTCTATTACATTCATACACGAAACGAATAAAATTCAGTCTGAAACAAAGCGTGCTGCATTTTGTTTGCCTCTATAATGTTTTCTATAATGTAAACATACGATTTTCTATAATGTTTTTGAAGGATTTACGTTGAGTGGGCACGAAGTGTTTAAATTTTAACTTGTGTTTAGTTTTTTTATGTACCTCATTGTGTTCTTAGCAATTAGTGTGATAATTAAATTATCATTATGGACCTGCTTTCTGGTCCTAAACTAGATAGATATTCTGAGCTTTATAGTTGTTGTTGAACCCTTTAAGATAACGTTGGGGATAGTGCAAATCCGATAATTGGGTAGTTTCCAGGGTATCGAAATTAAAAATCTAATTAATCTGTCAGTTAGATAATGAAAAATATTAGACACGTATTTTTTATTTTCTCGTATTAAGTTGCAATATTTAGATAAAATGGCGCTAAGTTTAGGAGTAGGAGGTCGTTACGTCATAACGTGCTAGAAAATGTGATACACTGTGACGTCACACGATATTTCAAATTAATACATCGTCGAAAGTATTTCATTTTCGGAGAAAAGAAAAAATACGTGTCTAAAGTTTTAAATTAATGTACCAGGCGGAAATTAAAATAAAATTTAGGAAACTACCCTATTCCGCATATCTGACAAATGTAGCTAATTCAAATTTCCGCGGAAAAATCTCACAAAATTTTAATTGGCTGCCACCACTTTGACACGAGTTCATTTCGACTCATATTTAATATGTAAAAAAAGAGCTTGAAATTTATTGAATGAATAAAGTTATTCAGTTTTAACTTCCCCTGTAAAACTGGAACTATTGCAGATACGCGGCCTCTGTTTATTATAGCTTCGTGGATTTGCACTATCACCGACGACGATACGTAACTGGTATTGTATTATCATTTTACAAACAGCGTACAAATACATATAATTTTAAACCAGATAGCAATAATCCTAGTTAAAATATAGCATTTACTATCTGATTTTATAACCACAATTCTACCACTAACTGAGCTTACTCAAGTACTAATCGACTCGTATTCAACTGTTAACCAACTCACTATAGCTAGCTAAACCAGTAAACTTACCTCCGGTCCAATTATATGTATTTGTAAAGCTGTTGTTTATACTAAAATAGCGCTTATTAGGACTGTCATAAAATCGTAAATTGAACTGTATCTGTGTCTAGGGTTGTGTTTAGTAATATTATAAAGTTTTGGGGCTGTGTGAATGTTTGCTTTTACTCAAAAACTATTATATTTTTCACCAGTTACTATCACGTATTGTATTTTTTTATAAATACAAAAGTTAAGAACTAAATTTCGTGAGCGAAATGACATCAAAGTTTGAAGTATCTTTAGAAAAGTATTTAATTTAGTAATTGCTACCTATCATAAACTTTTTGCCGCTTACCACCTACCACATATATTTCTACACTACCGAAAGGATGACTGGCAGAGAATACTGTTAGCATTAAGTCCTCCTTACGCAATTGTGTAAAACTTAAAATAAAAAATATATTTCATTTATTTTTCCGAACCCAATTAAGTATGTAGGTAGTTGAATGATCTTTCAAAAATTATTTATATTCGTGTTAAGGTGACACTCTCTCTCCTATTTTTGTCGATACTCCTCGAACGTATTTCTTCTCCTACCCCTATCGCTTTATGTCAAAATTAACACACAATAGAGTTACATTTATAGCACCCCATTGAAAATTCTATTGTCGATTTGCTATTAAAATATCATTAACGACATTGATGTAACCTTTCTATTGTTGTTGAAATTAAACAAAAGGCCAGACTTGTCGATAGTTCGCGATGAGTTTACAGACAGACAGGGCTTCAATAGGCCGACATGCCGATAGACTGCGAGCTGTGATAACGCGTTTAAACAATGAGCCTTACAAACCATGGAGTATTTAGTAAATGGAGTGATCCGCGCAGATCAATTTGTTGTAGTATTTTTTTTTTCAATGTAGTATATGACACTGCAATTTGATGAAATAAAAACTTTGTCTTGTTAAAAAGATGTTTGTCGTTAGACTCTGTGGGTTGTTTTGTGTGATATTGTATTTTATACACATAACCTATATTTGCAGTGGCCACTTATAAGCGGTTGATGTGTGATACGAAGATATTTGGCGTAAAAGACAAGTCGTATTTTGAAGGTTAAATATCATAAGAATGCTCTTTTACATACCAATCTAAGCGGTAGATAAGATGTGTGTATGTGTATTGATGTGTGTATATGAATAAGATGTGTGTGTGGAATATGGATTCCGCAACTGATTCCTCCATCTACTTATGAATCCGTGACGAAAGTAAACAGTCGTTTATATTTATATGTGTAGCTCGCAGTTAAGCTAGGACTCATCCTGTGGTACTGAAATGACTTTTTGCGTTTGTTTTGCTACTGTTTTGTAGTTAAAATTTGTTTTAACATGTAATAATGGTTACTAAAGTTGTGATGTTTTGTGTAGGCGTCAGATTATTTTAGTAAATAATGGCTTTATTTATTGTGTGGTATTCAATATCATGTGGGTTTGTAACTGATCGATTCTACGATATATTTTTGTGGATTTGTTGCCATGGATGTGACGTGTGTGGTGGATTTTAGGAATTTATTTTTTTTGTTTTATGGGAATGATGAAAGAAACACGATCGACAAAATTTTACACTGTATTATCATATCACAGATGAACTATTTAAATCTCATTTTGTGATATAAAAGAGTATTTACGAATATACACGTTACATTACATTCGACATATTTTGTAGAAATAATGAAAACAAACTTTTTATTACACGTGCTCATGTGCCATAAAAATCGATGTAGACAATGCAATGTATACTATAAGACGACTAGATAAAGACTAAAATGTGCGTGACATAACAATATCGAATAACAAAATTACAATTCTTAACAAAACAAACTTATAAACATAATCGAGTACAATCTAATTATAACGAATATCGAATAATCGTATAAACAATCGAACAATCGCTATTGCTAACATTATTTGCGTTTTATAATAATATTCGATGATAGTTCATACGTTCATTCGTTAATTCGTTCACTCGTTCAATTAAAATGGCGGTCGCCAGTACAAGCTACGTGGCATGCTAATTAAACTCATTTGTTATCCGACATTTTTGATGCTGTTACAGACTAGTGCACTTCGTTAAAATCAATTATATCATGAACTGCATTTTAAATCATACCTAATTGTCAATATATTATAGTGCATAATAACTTAAGTCGATAAACTGAATGTTTAAACTGTACACGTTTGCAGTTACATCATGAATGTTTAAGTAAATTAGACGCGTCTCAGCTTTGAGTTAGTAAATGGTTTATTTATTAGCTTACCTACTTACTAAGTTTAACTTAAAGTATGAACTATCACACATTTACAAAGATATCAAGGATAGGTTACATGAATGACATATCTTTTTAAACAAATTTAAGTATATTATCGTTGAAATTATCACCTATGGATATAAATGAATCATTTTCACTAATAATTTCTTAAAAAGATACATCATTCACGTAGTACAATTTCTAAGATAATAATCAGACTTTAATTGTAAACTGTTTAAAGCATTATGAACTTTAACACTAGTTCAAGGAGGTACACATTCGAATAACAATTACATCAATCGACTTGAACAAAAACAGTGCAATATTTTGATAAAACAGTTATAACAAATTCCCATTATTTCTACAAATAAAGAGGTTTTATTATCAGTCTATTAATGCCAAGAAGAGAACGAGATATGTTCCTTTATCGGCACAAATACTGGTTTCTCGACATGCACAGTATGATGAACTGGTACATGAACAGTTTGGACTACAGGCAAAGTTTTGATGATAGGGACCTCTTTGATAACAGGCACTGGTTTGATCACAGGGACCTCTTTGATCACAGGAACGGTTTCAACGTGGTGATGGTGTAAGGTATGGACTTCATATGGCACGTGAATTCTCACGCTGTAACAAAGGATATTGAATTAATTGCCATTGCTCAGTTCTGAGACAATTTTGATAGCATAAATATAAGAAAAAAAAGTATACTAGTAGTAGATACATCATACATCACATTTTTGCGTTTTATTTAGGACTAGCCCGCGACTTCCAGGTAGAATATGAATTTTAGAACATATCGTTTTGTCTTTGAATTTTCTAAAATAAAAGTAGCGTATGTTACTCCTTAGTACATCAACTATTTCCCAATAAAAGTCTTACAAAATCGGTCCAGCCATTCTACAGATTAGCCAGTTTAAACAGACATACAGACAAAATTGAAATAAATATAGTTGTGGTTGTTATTTTAATATTACAAACAGACTCAAATTTTATTTATCTGTATCATCATTCTATTAATTACTGCTTCGTTAGTGTATTTTGCCAATCGATAAACTTAATTGTCATCCTGTCAAGAGTTTTGAGTTCGAATGTTTGAGAGTCTAAAGCAATTTGATTTCCCAAATTATTAGTAACACAATTAGTATACAATACAAACTCCTATACAATAGACTAAATGCAACGTTATGGATTTACCCCCATAGCATCCGTAACTGTAAGAAAATTCTAAAGGAAGCCCTTCGAGACATGTCCTATGAAGACACAGAGAAGTTATTATTAGTTCCTAAATAATACTTAAAGTAAGCTCCTAATCTCTTATTTATATACTACATACATACTCTTATATACATATTAAGCATAGAATTTAAGTATTACTTTATATCAGTATGCATAAATATAATTAAATATTGTCATAATTTACCCTAACTTATTAGCATTTAAGTATTAGTGATTATACCTCTATAATAATGTTTACTACTATATTACCTAACCTCGCCTGAAACACAGGATTTCCTAGTTCAGGCACCTTATATTGTGAACATTATTTAGCTTTAAGCAAAACTGTACATTTCTAGACTATTATGTTTGAAAATAAATTTTATTTATTAATTTATTATAGTATAATCAAAATTGTAACATATTTAGTGACTTTCACATCTTATAAAGATAAATGTATTTCCGTTCGTTATTCTCGCAAAAACTAGGGAACGGCTGAGCCAATTTGGCTAATTTTGGTCTTAATATTATGTTAGCTTCCAATCTAGTCCGAGGAAGCTTTGAAGGTGAGAAAAATGAAAATTTTGAGGCGATACGGAGTAGTCAGGTCAGTTAATCTCTTGTGAAACCAGTGAAACAAGTGAATTTGTTTCTGCAAATAGGCTACAAGGCAGCGCTTTTACACGTCAATTTTATCAAACGAACGATGAGGCCGATATATATAAGAGTATAACATACATACATATAAAAGAACTGTGACGTTATTAAATTAAAGTTTACTTAAGGTAAACCAAACTGAAGATAGCACACCGCATCATCGTCATGACGTCATCATTATGTCTACAATACAATCTGTACCTTACATATACCTATATATAATGTACATTAGCGTGGACAGTACATAACTCATGTCACAGTCGCCATTAACAGTTATGTAGGCAATAAATCTGACGGATAGACAGCGTTAGATATTATTATCTATGTTATCAGTAAGATAGGAAATCTCCGTGAGAGGTAATAATTGCAAGGAAATGAGTTATATTCAGTCAATGTACCGTGTTTTTGGGATTTTGTTTTTGTCGTACATAGTCGTTTTTGGTGTATTATTTCTAACCTGGGTATTAGGAATGGGGAAATTTTTCCTGCACCTCTATTAAGAAATTTTAGCAAACCTTCTCCACTAATAATCTACTGCATATCAAAAAAATGACTATATTACTCACCGTAAAACAAAAATACTGATTTGCACACAAATTGTTCAAAATTACAACGGAATTTCCAAAGTAGGTTAGGTTAGGTTAGGTTACGAATTATTAGATTTGCTTTTAGTTAAGAGGTAGTCACTCAGTAAAACTGTTAAGCTTTAAAGGTCTAACAGTATAGTATAATTGTTTTATTTGATGAGCAAATTTAGTATTTTTGGTGGTGATTCCGAATATTTTGATTGAAAAAAGGGAATTTACACTTAAAGTATTAAATACCATCCTTAGGAATGTAGACTTTGACTCGGTTATGTAGAGAATAGAACGCGTGATAATTATGATTTTTATATCATATTATTATGCAATATGTATAGGAGGAGAAGAAATAAGAAAAGTAAGAGAAAGAATATTTTTTTGTGATTTGAGAAAATATAGTTATCGAAAAGGTAAGCCTGAATTTAATGTTCAAATTATACATCGCACACCAAAATGTCATCTATAGAAGCAGGTCTATATATGTATACGTATTCTTATATATATACTTCCAACAGTTTATGTTCATTCAACGAGGGGTTGAAATGATTTATTTAAGTATTATTTTGCAAACTAGATTAGATAATACGCGAATTTACTTTACAATTTATCATTTCACTTCATGTTTCGGAATAAAGAATTGGAAAAAGAAAATATACAATATGATAAATAAATAAAAAAATAATTAAATAATGGTCTGCACTGTACTCACTGTGTTCTGTGAACAGGGTCTGGTTCTGGTACGGGGTTTGCTAAGCACATGTGGCTTGCGACCACTACGACCAGGGTCAACTGAAATAGAAGGAACATACGTTTTAGTATTATTACGTATGATAGGTACCTACCTAGTTTTGTGATGACGTAATAAAATTGATAGTTATTGAAACTTATGTCTAAATAGTTTGTTATTAATTAATCAATGTCTTATTGTAAAGTTTTTCATTTAAAATAATGCATTTTCCGTGATGTCAAAGTCAAAAACATTTTTTTTCCATTAGACAAGAAAGGCACTTTTGAACGTCAACAAAAAAAATAAAAGTGAAGCTATTTGCTCATTCCAAGGTGTAGATTCCTATGGAGAAGAACGAGCAAGAAACTCCATAGTTATTCATTTTCCATTAGTTAATGAAATAAAATAAAAAAAGTATGAAACAAAATCAAAGTAACTATTTCAATTAATCCTTGATTAGACAACTTTTGAAACGTAAAATTGAATTGTCAGCGAAGTTACGTGTTTGAATGGAGAAGAATGAGCAAGAAGTTAATATAAAGCATATTAACTAATTAAAAAAAAATGTTTTTTACTATTACATTTTATGATCATTTTAAAAACTCGAATTACTCGTAATGAACTTAAATGAAAAAAACCAAATAACCACAAAACATCCTTATTATTACATTTATACAAAACAACAATAAATAAATAAATAAACACATCAAACAAATACTCACAGCAATGTTGCGAATCATATTGGCGTGGCGATTGGCGTGTCACTGTGTTGGATGCGCGTGCGCCGCCGTTAATATGCCCAGCGGTTGTGCAAGCTCCTGCCACCGTTACGGTTCCTGATTCACTTGTACATATAACTTGTATGACTTTAGAAATTACGAGATGCAACCTTCTAGCAGATTTTCATGTTTTCATTAATTAATATAAAATATAGAATAGAATCAAACGTTAATTTGTAGAAATCTATGCTTCAACTGAGAACCTAACGGGTTACCGGGGCTCCGGCTCGACGTTCAGGAGAAGGAACGGGGTGGTTTTTAGTCAGTAACAGTCTGACACTCCCTCCCGCCTCACCCGGGCGGGAGAAGTCATTCGTTGATTTTCCCTCCTCAAAAAAAAGATAAACGTTCATGCAGAAGAGATGTGACACATGACACACAC